TACAAGGTTCCATATCTGTCTAACTTTCAGGCTTACCTTCTTCAAGATGCTTGCTTTCAGAGCAGGGTCGTTCAGATCCACAGAGTCCTCCATCTTCAGCCTCAGCTTCACTACCTTTTTGAACTCTGGTTTATCAAGAATAGGAGAGATATTGGATTATTGTTTAAATGTTTCTGTAAACGTCGAAAGTTTAAATAGAAAACTTTAAGGTGGATTCTGGTTATGGTGTTAAAATGCTCACCACTGACACTGTAGCAGACAAATGGTAATTGTTTTTCACAAGAGAGAAACTTCCATTTTCCCAATTTGCCAGAAGATGTAACACCACATATGACATTCATGGAACCAATTTGATTCTGGACAGAATCCCAGTTGCTAAAGAGAAAGTCGCTGCCATCAGACCAAAACAGATTTGGCTCTCTGAACAGGCCGATCCATGCCTCGTTAGTTATTAATTTAGCAATCATCTGATTTTCAGCATCGTTCTTTACAGTTGCAAGATCTGCAAAGTTTTCTCTGCAAAACGTCTGAGCATCAGACCAATTCATTTGTTCCTTCTGATAAGTAAACGTAGCCCCCTGTTGTGTCCCTGTTGGCAGGAAAGATGTGTTAAAGAGGTGAACAATGGTTTTTAATCCTACACAGTGAGCCATGCTGGATCCCCTTACCTGTGTTACAGATAAACGGAAGCTCTCTTGCACACGAATCGTCCCACCAATTTCCTAAATACCCAGAAAGCACACAGAACTGAATGGCATTATTAAAATCTGGTTCATTAGAAGCTGTTTTCCATTGCCTGTAGTCAGTCCCAGTCCCCGTGTACCCGTCCGACCACTTCCAGTCGATTTCATTATACAAACCAATCCAGACGTCAGAGCTGTGACCTGCAGACAAAAGCGTTTTATAAAGCAGGTCAAGCTCTTTAGAGTTTTCTATAGTTGCCAGGTCTGTGTGTTTCTGTCTGCAGAAGGTCTGAGCGTCACTCCAGGTCGAAGGTTGGCTAAAAAAGTAGTAATGGCGAGAAATAGTGGTGGAAAGGCCAAGGCAATCTGAAAAAAATGAAAATAAACCTCTTAGTAAGTATAAGTTAGGCTGATTTCATAATCAAGTTCACAAAAAAAGAGTCACTGACTTAAAAAAAGCAAGAATCCCAAAATGTTCCTTTCCATTTTGATTGTTCCCTGCAGACCTGTGAAGGAAGCATCTACTGTAATGAGGAATGATTGTGGGGTTACCAAATAGGCTGTTAAATCACATAAAGGCTTAAAGCTTTTGATGCAAAACGTGTGATTCAGTGACGAACTGCAGGCAAATGATAAAGTCAAACTCATCCCAAAGGTTCGCCTGCACTCAGCTCTTCAGTGTTTCCAAGTCAAATGTCTCACTTTAACAAAACATCACGTCAGAGTGTCTTAGTATCTCCCTTAGGGCCAAACCGGGGCCCTCGGGGAAGGGAGTTTTATCTTTATGATTATTTGCTTTATTTTTTCTCCTGTTTTCACATCAAAATCTTTCATTTCTTCCATTCAAACTCACTGATTATTCAAGAATAACCTCGTTTTCTCTTATAAATTTCATCCACACTTTTTGCATCCGTCAACCTTCTCAATAGCTTATTGCTTAACTATTAACCTCATTTCTAGTTTGGCATTTCCTGAATCTTCAAAAATTGTTGCTTGAATATTACACATTATTTTATCTTGCATTAGCTGCTTTAAAGACCTGAAGAAACTTTCTTATGTTTTTAACCAAAGAGCAGCTTCTAAGTTTGCTTAGTAGACTCAGAAAGCTAGTTTAATGGAGTCAGAAAGTTATTTATGTGTATTCTATTAACTACTACCCCCCTCAGTTTGCTGAGCTGGTTGATTTTGGTAAAAGGCTACTGCTGTGATCTGAAAAAAATGTCTGAATGCCATAAATGTATTGCAAGCATTAGTTATTTTCCTGTTCATGAATGACAAAAGGATATATATATAACATTGTTTTTCATAATAGCACTGATAATATGTCATTTTTCAAACCAATGAGCTGAGTGAAGCACGTTTGGATTGATCATTCCTGTATAATTCAATTTACTTATAAACCAGGGTATCATCTCTTAAACAAGAACTCTGGAGATAACTTTTCCTAAATGGTCTTGTCAAGTCCAAGGAGCCTAAAGCGCTTTACATCCAGTCATTCACCCAATTAAACACATTCATACGCTGATGGTGGTAAGCTACATTGTAGCCACTGCAAGGCCGACATACAGATGCAGAGGTGTTAAAATTATTAATATTTATTACTCCAGGAGAAGTAGAAATCCTACTGTTTAAAAACACTTTTATAGAAGTTAGATGATCAAATTAAGCTTTTTACTCCAGTGAAAGTAATAAACTAAAAGTAAAGCAGTAAAAGTACTATTAATAAAAATACTTTAAGTATAAAAATAAAAGTAATGCAGGAAAACATGTTAAGGACAGAAGTTTTGCTGCACTGTCCTACTTAATGACGATTTCTCTACAACTCTGGATGATAGTTTCCTTAGACCTAATTTTCTTAGTTTTATAGATACTGGTAAATGTCATGATCTTGGCACTGATGACTGGATTATTGGTTTAGATCAATCACCTGCTTAGCTCCACCCAGTTTTCATTATCACTCATAAGATCCACCTGTTCCACTTCCTATTTAAACTGCTTGTTCCCAGCCATCAGTGCCAGATTATTCGGGCTTTAGATAAGAGTTCTCTGGTGTACCCAGTGAGTTATTTTCATTGCCTGATCCTGACTAGTTTCTGCTCCTGGACTTCTGAGTTTGCCTGCCCTTGTTCTGATCTGTTTGCCTGACTGGTCTTTGGACTTCCATTAGATTCAGCCTGCTAACGACCATGAATCT